GTTGGTGTTATCTCCTTTATCCCGTAAACTCTGGGGCTTGGACGCTGTAATTTGTCTCTGTTAGTTTAATAATACTTTCAGCATATTGGCTCAGGGTGATTTATTTCATCTACTCATTTAAATTAGAACTTTTAGCTCAGGACCAAATGATGCATGCACGCGAACCCGCTGCCGTATGAGAGCTTTTCAAAGAGGTTTTTAATCTAGATTAAAAATTCAGGCAGATCCAACCAGTGTGCCCTTGTACCCTTACAGTGTGGGCATCCAAATCATGGATGATTTATATCACCAATGGCTGTTGTCCAAACGATAATGTAATGCTTCTGTTTCTCATTTTTTTAAAGCTTGTTTTTTGGCCTTCTGCCTTTATTGAATAGATGCAATAGAGATATGAAACTTGGGGAACGGAGCAAGTGAATGACAAGCAGCAAACATCAAGCCAGCCAGGAGGTGAACCAGGGACTCGCCATTGGCCAGCAGCTTGGCCGCTGGTTTGTGCAATCGTTAACTTTTAAAATGTTTTCTCCTCTTGCTTTCCCTCTTTCCACACAGCCATTGGTTTCTGTTACAGAGAAACTGCCACAGATCAATAATCCATCACAGTGAACATAACATGGATTGTTATTTGGGCCAGCAAGGTAGTGTGACACCTTATAGCTGCAACTGCAAAGAGCCAAAGAAATAACCCGACTTTGACAACAGGAAAAGCAGGCATGAAACTGTGTGTGATGGATGAAAGGAGTCGGGCGGCATATTTTGGACCTTGTGGGGGAGAAATTTTAGGCAGGGCTGGGGAAGAGAGCGAGGACAAAACCCAGAAAAAGCTTACAAAACCGTGCATTCTGGGAAATGTAGGGCACTTGGGCAAAAACTCCCCAAGTGTGCTGAAATCTGCCAAATATAGGCAGAAAATGCATGACTTTCACTTTCCTTTAATTGTCTTATATTATTGCTATATGACTACTGTTGTCTGCACAGCTGAACACGGTAACTGTGGGGTATTTGCACAGCGCCCGAGAGACGGCCCACATATTTCCACACGGTGTGAATCTTAATTGAATCTGAAGTGCTTTCTGTGACTGGTGGTCAACCTGGCAATTTGAAGTGGCTGCAGAGGAGAGGCCGGTGTGACGGTGACAGGGCAGAGATAAGTGCTGGCATTCTTGCGGAGAGAGGAGTATGTTCCCCACAGTGCCTTGCTCAAAGTGGCTGTGGAGAAATTGAACTGTGGCTGGTGAGGAGCTCGCTAAATTGCTTTCGAGTCCCTCCACTTGTGTTGTTCCAGTGCTTGAGCTCAAGAAAATGAGGGCTTTTTCTTTTTTTCTTTTCCTCCAGCAGATTTCTGAAGAGGTCTGATGACAGACACTCTGAGAGCTGAAAATATAGTGGAGCAGCAGAAGAAAGTGGTTACCATATAGTTGCAAACTGCAGTATAAAGATGTGTTATTGAATATTTCTTCTGTGAGAAAGTGATGAGCTTCAGATAATGTACAACAATAATGTGCACGGTTGGTATGATTCAACATAAAAATGATAAATGATACATGAATACTCATAATATCATTAATCATTGAAAAAGACATTAGAAAGTTTGCACCTGCCCTACACTTAAAGCTGTGTTGAGCAAACTTTGACCACTAGGGGGCAGAATATGTGTAAATAAAGCAACATAGCCAAATATCCTGAACTCTTATGGTTTATTTTTGATAGTGGTGAGGAGAGCATGATTCTATTATAACAATGAGTTTTCAGCTAAAACAGCAGCACCTGATGCCTTTTAAACAGACCGCCTCCAGCCTATGTGCAGTCAAACCATAATAAAGATGCACGTGAAGCTGTAATAGTGTATGTTAATCACCTTAAGTAGATATAATTTAGGTAATTATAGCTTGCTTAAGAAAAAGCTGCTCAATATGTAGCTTAGTTTGTTGTTTTCAGGGTTTTTTTTCATAATTTCTAGAACAACAGTAGAAAGATTGACAGTTTCACAAATAACGCGCAGAGCTGCTTTTAGTACGTGTCTGCTACTACTAACGTTTCTGTAATTAGTGGGAAACTACCTCAGGGCTCTGATTTTTGAGATACTATATTACAGTTAAGTGACTGGTCCACTGCAGTGATTGGCAGGTGATGAGAAAGTGTGGCTGGCTGACAGATGAGTGGATAGACAGAAAATGTAATAGAGAATAAGAGCAGTGGTGGTGGAAAAAAGCCCTGCAAAGGTAGGGAAGATGAGATGTAACAGCTGGACTCCAGGAGTGGAGAGTGGCGGTCAGAGTCATTCAGGGTTCGGTACAAGCCAGCTGTCAGTGCTAATAGACAGAAAAAGATGGAGGGAGGGGAAAGGAGAGGAGGGAAAATAGGAAGAGATGTTCAGGCCAAACAACCTGTCACTAGCTATAACGGAGCATAACGCAACACAGCTGCCTTGTCTGAATGTCAGAAAGAGAAACTTCCCTGGCAGTTTGGAGAAGAGTCTGCAAAACGATATTCTCAAATGGATAGATGCTATCTGGTTCAGCGGCAGGGCTGGGCCCAGAATAGCAATGATGCTCTTAGTCAGATCTGCTGAGAACAAGTTAGCTCCGACATGTCCTTCACGTCAGCATCACAGCTCCCTCCTTTTTTCTCTGATAGTCTGTTTTTGCTCACTTTGGTCATGAATAAATGTCCAAAGGATGTCCAAAAATCAGCAAAGATGAAATAAAGTTTGGAGACTTTTGAATCTATGAGCTTTGAACAATCGTTGACAACAGTGCGTTAGCTTCTTGCACTTCTGATGAGCAGATATCTGCATATTCTGGGATAGCATTGACCAGTTTGAGCACCAGTGGCTTTCCTGCAGGTTCACACAGCATGAAGAGAGACTGTGCATCACTATCTGTGAACACTTTAGCTGAGGTTAGCTTCAATGACCAGTTGAAGGAAACGGTTTCCCGTCTGATGTCGTAGCTGCGTTTAGCTAAATGATGTTTAATGAAGATGACTGTTAATTTGAAGTGGACAAATATTTAAATCCTGCAGTTCTGACAGAGTCACTGGTGGTTTAAAGGTGCACACTTGTGTTCTTTGATGCTAGTGCTAATGATCTAATGATACACCAGCTGAGGTACTATTGGAGACCTGTAGCAACAGATCTAAAAGAGCAATAAAGTCGACAGTGGGAGGCGGTCGGAGTGTAGCGGTGGCATAAATCACAGGATTGTTAACCTGGTGATTGCTGTTTACTAGGGGTGCTTGTATCGATATTGAACCGTTCGATACAGTGCTTTCGGTTCGGTACGCATATGTATCGAACAATACAATTTTTAATTTATTTTATCAACTTTTCTTCTGACGATGCTGTCTGTGTTGAGAGCTCAGAGGATCTGCGTCTCGACTACTCCGCCTAGGCTGCACTGTCGAGCGCAGATCCACTGAGCGCAGGGCAAGCTAGCAAGACAGAAGCTAAGCTCCGTTGCAACATGGCAAATTGAACCTCCCCCACCCTCATTCAGATCTGGCCTTTGGAACTATTTTGGTTTTCATGTGACGTATGACCCTGAAGGTAAGCGGTCATGGACAAAGTAAAACAGTATGTCGGATGTGCCACGCAATGCTCAATTACATTGGGTGGGAACTAGTGTGTTAGCGCAGTTAGCTCGTTAACGTGTTGCGCCGTCCAGCCCCACGCACGGGGCGATCCGCGGTAGCTCGTTAACGGAGATTTGCCGTGTTGTGGCGTTAACGTCATTTCAGAGATTAACGCTGACAGCACTAGGCCATATGACTGCATTAGCGAATCATCTAGGCAAGACAAAAAACAACAAGCACATGCTACAAACTTTAGCTCGAGTCATTTAGACAGCCGTACACTATTCTATGGACTGTTGTTAATATGCTGCTGAGAATATAGCCCAGAAGAAGCGTATAGTATAGCTTTTATTTTGGAAAGAGCCATTTCTCTGTAATAAACTCTCTTTTCCAAAGATGAGTGATTCCTCACATCAGATAGATTTATTATTTTATCTTTGTTGTTTCAGCAACATTAAATTTAAAAACTGTACTTTTGAGTTAAAATATATATTTATAATTTTAATAAATGACAAATTAAAAAAGGCATGAACATTTTTTTGTATCGAAAAAATATCGAACCGTGACACCAAAGTATCGAACCGAACCATGAATTTTGTGTATCGTTGCACCCCTACTGCTTACATCTTGTTTGAGAGCTCTGGGCATTGGAATCAGTTTTTCTTTGATTTCACTCTTTGTTTAGTGCAAGTTATTACTCAGGAGGTCAGGAAAAGGTCACGATTTGGATAAAAATGTGCCTGTTCATATTAATCCATTGATATACCCCTGATACATGTACAGTGTTTAAATGATGGCACAGCGTATGTGTATCTCCAAGACTCCTCTATTTGCCATGCATCCTGACTCCTTCCCTACAACCTTCCTTCTGCATCATGATAGCGATCTTCTTCTGAAAGCAGATGGAGTTATAGAGCTGTTTTGGATGTTTGAATAGACGGGTTCATGCTGTGATCTCCTCCCCGGTCTGCTCATGGCTGAAGTCACGAGGTTTCAGTCTGTTTTTTTCTGTCAGTTCAGTGGAAGAAATGTTGATTTAGATAATTGTTCCCTTTTCGGTTCCTGCTGAAGTTTGAGCTACAAATACACCATCAGTGAGTCATGCATGTAAAAGAGATCTGAGAGCTTGCTGCTGATATTCCTGCTGTGTGCTGTGCACTAATGGCCCTTCGTATCTTGTAGACTTTTGCTGTTGATGCATATGTTTTTCACAAAGGCAGGACACGTGGGGTGGTTGATGGAACAGACGACAGATGCCACACAGGCGTCACTTTGACATGTAAAGACTGTGTTGATCAGTTTGGGCTCAAGTGTCTGTCGCTGGCTGCTGATTGGCCACGATCTTTACTTTGTATGAGACTGCAGTAATGTCTTAGCACATCAGCAGTTGTGTGTATCTGACTCCGTGTTGTGTTTTCATCTTTCAGATATCCGCGGCCTGCAGGGTTTCCTCGACCAGACGTCCCGCCAGGGTGTCGACGTGGCGTTGCAGAGAGTGGACAGGAACATCAGTAAAATCTTCACCAACCTCTTCACCACCATGAGGACAGAGGAGCTCAATCGGTACAGAGACACACTGAGGAGAGCCATCCTGCTGCTCAGCCCACACGGAGCGCACACATTTATCCAGCAGGTCGGTCCAGCTCTGGTTTTTCTGGCGTGTTTACTGCAAAAAGTCGCCTAAAAATGCAATGAAGTGAGCAGATGAGTGCGATCAGTGTGTGAGTGTGTTGTGCTTAATGTATCTGAAGGAAACCACACGGCCCCTCTGAGGTCTTAGTAACACTAACTTTATATTTAACCGTGTTTAACTTTAGATTATAGATTTTTCTGTCAGTTCATTTTTTCCCCTCCTGATTTCAAGACTTCAGTTTTTGAAATCTGCTCATATCCTCTGACAGCAGAGGGTGTAACAAACACCTGCAGCTTCACAACCCTGCACGTAGAGTCTGCAGCTTTTAAAATACATCAAGCTAGTTTGTCACATAAGAACTGCCTAACAATCCAAATCCAGGCCTGATCTCATCTTCTTGTTTTCACTCTCCTCTGAGCTCCCAGTCAGACACCGGGCAGCTGACCCGTTGGCAATCTGACCCTGAGGGGGGAATTCGGTAAATTCCAATCTCCAGGTCTTGCTCTTCCCCTGGCGTGCAGCAAACTGAAGTATGCTGCAGTCGGCTGGTTTTAGCCGCTGTCTCAGATTTCATCGTCGATGATGATCCTCAGCATGAATTTCAGGTCAGATTGAAAGAGAAGCTGATGTTTGCCCTCTGCTCAGCGTAGAGGGTCGTGATTAAAGTTCTGAGTGCAGAGAATAGGAGAGATTTAAAAGTCTGTCTGGACATCAGGGAAAAACTGACCAGATTTAAACGAAGTCAGGCTTTTGTTCCTGTGCTCGTAGTTTGGGATTCCACATTGAACTCGTGTGTTCTCATCCCCGAGGCATCAGTTAGTCCTGTTTGTCAAACCTGCTGGTTTCCTTTGGCTGGCTGTGCCCTGCTGGGTTATAACCAGGGAACGGGAATAACGGCGTTACTCTTTTCAGTAACGAGTAATCTAACTAATTACTATTCCTATCGTTACAACGCCATTACAGTTACTAACAAGAAAACGCGGCCCGTTACTATTTTTCAACAAACAGACGGTTGAAGCTGTGTTCAGGTTACTGCTTCTTATATCAGCTGCAGGAAGTAGCTGTAAGTAATCTGGACGCTGCAGCTTTAAGCAGCTGTGTCTGGCACAACAGCTGGAGCTCAGGGGGCAAAACAATGGCATGATTGCAAGAGAGAGAGAGAGAGAGCGAGTTTTGAGATGTGAGAGATTTGTGACGTTTGGCGTGTTTGGAGTGTGTAGTTAATGTGTTGTCTTGTGTAGTTAGTGTGTAGTGTTGTGTTGTGTGTCAGAACAATGAGGCGACTGCTGTCTCCAGGTAGAAACAGCAGTGACACACCTGCTGCTGTCAGACCTGCAGGTATCAGGCTGTGATGTTTCCTTTATAGCAGGTATGGAGGAGGTGTGCAAACACAGAGACAGCACTCGAGCCAAAACACCCCCCCCACCTTCGCTTCCCTCCACGTATGCAGAGCGCCCAGGGGAGCACGCACGGCGGCCACATTGCGACGCTCTGCTGCCCCCGTTTGTCCGTCAGCGGCCTCGCCCGGCCGTCTGGCGGCAGCGTGACGGCGTGCCAGCATATTGAGGCTACATGTGACACTGGAGTGACAGAGGGTCAGTCGCCAGGTACTGTATTAAAGTCCCGAGTCGCTGCTGATGCCAGGCGCATCACGGCATCACCACGTAGCGCCAGGCACATGTGTGTCATCGTGGCGAGCAGAGGTGTGACTCACACCAGTCTCGAGACTTTGTGCAGAGCGGGATTGTGGGATAGTTTTTTGTGTGTGGCGAAACCCACCGAGGCTTGCTTTAGGTGGCAATTAAAACACAAGGAGTGACCTCCGATGACCTCGGTGTGGCGCTCAGACCGCGCCGACAGGCCTCGCTGTCTCCAGGGTGGCAGTGTTCTCCTCTCAAAATAAACCCACTTACATAATGAAGCGGCGGCGGCTGCAGACGAGTTTTCCCGCTCGTTTGAAGCCTGCCAGCCTCTCCCTGCCGCCCTGCAGTCGTGTCCTTCCCGATGTCCCCGTTCAGCTTCGTTGGGACGTTTTGCTTTCAAAACGTTGATGCAGCTCCCCAACCCTGTGCTGAGGGAGAACTGCAAGAAGCTTCCACTTCTTCTTCCCAGGTCTAAAGTCTCCTCCTGTGTTTGAGGAGGATCTCATCAGCGTCATTCTCAGTCTCTCCAGCTGGTCTGTGTGGCACAGTGGTCCAGTGGTTAGCGCCGGTGCAACAGACAGTCCAGGGTTTGAATTCGGTCTGAACACAAGCACGTTCAGCTAAACTTGTGATTCTAAATTGTCTGTAGGTGTGAATGTGACTGGTTGTCCATCTCTCTTTGTTAGACCTGTGATGGACCAGCGACCTGTCCAGGTGTACCCGCCCCTGTCCCGCCCTGTGTCAGCTGGGATTGGCCCAACGGCCCTCAGCTGACGTTTGGTTCGTTTTCAGTGTCTTCTTCCTGCCACGTGATGTCGTTTGTCTTGACGAAGCTCTGAAGATTTTTTTTTGGTTTTGAAGCCCTTCAGTCTCAGATGCCGTCCGATGGTTATGGGGCTGCAGTCGGCACCAGTAACGGCCTTAGTTTGGGTCGAGGATCGTCCAGTGTCTCAAAAGACAGCCAATCAGATCCTCCGGCTCAGTGCTGGTGACATTTTTTGGGGTCTTCCACTTGATTCTTTTGTTCCATAACCCTCAGGATCCTTTAAGAAATTCCAAATGACCGTCTCACTGCGTCCCCGTTTATGCAAAACGACCACGTCCAGGGTTTGTTTACCTTTGCCATCAGGACTACCTGACAGAACATGACAATGAATCTACATTTTTGCACCGATTTAAAGACACGTGGTCCTAAACCTTTGATCACCTGTTTCGATTTAAGTGTTGTTTTCAATAAATTGCTCAAAAAAGTTTCTGTCTCACTCACATTTCTTCTTGTTGCATGTTGAAGCTCTACTTGGAACCTTGTTGAGATCCAAAAATGCAAAATATAATTTTTTTTTTGTTGTCATTTTTAAAGTGGTTTTAAACTTTTGATCAGGACTGCACCATCTCTCTGGCCAACTACCATTACATTTGAACTAGCCTGACTTCAGTGCTGCTGATTTTCCTCCATCGTTTTAGAAATCCTTCAGGCAGCACTCCTTTAAGTTCTGCTCCTTGTAAATCCTTGTTTTAATGTAATCCTTGTTTTTATTTTTAACAGAATGTTTCATCTTTTTGAACATCTGCAGCATGTCGGTCTATAAAAATCTGAATCTGTGAGCTTCTGAATGGATGTGTCATTAACACGCTGGTCAAAGGTGACACGATCGTACACTCGCGTCTTCAACCAAGAGGTGCACCACCAACCGAAAAGACATCAAAGCAGCTACTCGCACCGGTGGATGTGATGCCAAATTGGTGACACAGATTCCTTCCATTTAAACCACTGGATACGTCTATTACCTGGTTTGCTGCCTCTTTTTAAAATAAAAACTTCTAAACGATTGTCCTGGGTTTCACTGAGCCACACTCACACCTTTACACTGCTTTAACTACACTTAAGCGGGGTGGGCAACTCCAGGCCTCGAGGGCCGGTGTCCTGCAGGTTTTAGATGTGTCCTTGATCCAACACAGCTGATTTAAATGGCTAAATGACCTCCTCAACATGTCCTGAAGTTCTCCAGAGGCCTGGTAATGAACTAATCATTTGATATAGGTGTGTTGACCCAGGGTGAGATCTAAAACCTGCAGGACACCGGCCCTTCAGGCCTGGAGAGGTCCACCCCTGGTCTACATACTACTCTTTTTCCATCATCACACACAGCTTGCCGTTTGTGCCTCTTTCACAGGAACTCGTAGTCAGACTGGGAGAGCCCGTGCTGACTTTTCCAGTTGGTAACCACCTTTATGTGACCGCTTGGCTGACATTAGGAAACAAAGGCCATCCCCCAGCCGGCGCAGGATGCGCGTTCACTTTCAGGCACATTTAGGCAGCGAGAGTCTGACGCCTACTTTGTTTCACAGACCTAATGTCAGCATTTATGGCATGAAACCTGCAGATTTCAGCGATCAGTAAAAATATCTGCATCGTGCTAATAAAACCTCAAATCAGATGTTGACGAGCTTTATTGCACAAACAGGAGATGTAAGCGGAGACTGGAGGCGAGGCGCTGAGGAAGCACGTCTCAACTTTTGCTGCTTTGAATCGCGTTTGGTCGCTAAGCCGTGTACGACACCGCGTAATCCAATCCCAGGCTCTACGGGGTGGCCGGACCCCCTGCTAGTGCATCACCAAAGTGGATTATAGCACAATAACACACACACATGCACGCGCACACACACACACACATTTAATCCTTTCACATTCATTACCATGCCTTCAGTGTTTTTGCTTTTTTTGTCCTGTTCTGAGACATTTTTAGCTCCACATCTGTGCCTGTTTTGTTTTGGCTCTACCTTATTTTTTAATGCACTGTAATTGCATTTTTATTTATAAGCAGGAATCAGTACCAACTCTGCTTCTGCTCCTTGTTTTTATGTTGTTGTTGAATATTTAATTTATGTGTACGGGGGGGGGGAAACCCTCCCTGGGATTTAAAGTCGTGTTGCAGGAAGGGCGAGAGATGCCGACGAGACGCCTACAGCAGGCGGCTGAACCGGAGGCTGCAGCAGGAGCCAGAAGCAGGAAAACCAGGCATGAACACAAGCCTCGTGTGCGATGTCTGAAGCACTAACATTTGCACTACACAGCTCCTACCAGCATTTAATTCAAGCTGCTCAGATTTAGGAACTTTCAGACGATCTGAGCTCTGAGCGAGGACAGCTGGGTTTCAGTGAGAGTTAAGTGAGGAAGGAGAGTTAACCAAAGGACCACTCAGTATATTTATTCCATGTCACCGTTTTGTTTTGTTTTTTTATACACTGGGATTGTTCTGCTTGTTACAGCTGGAGATGTTTTCACATTTTGTGATGGACTGATCCAACTTTTTCCCGTTGTCCTCCGATACTGCAGCTTTGGGAATCGGTTGACCC